TTGAGGAATACAGAATCATTTAGACACATTTTTAGGTTGTATGAATGAAATGGGTTGCACTCTGTGTGCATATATATAATATTATCCTGGTGGATATCTGTCTCTCTGTCCATCTGTCTCTTTGTGTGTCTGTCTGCTCGTTGATGTGTCCAACTTCTGAAAGCTTCAAATCCACATTAAATCCAAGTACAATGGTGTTTCTCTCTCTAAATTAGTGTTTACCCACTGCTGATTTTTTTTTTACTTTTTGTTAATTTCAAATGTATTTTGAAGTAAAGAGTGGAAAAATATCCATGTCTGTTTTTGTTATAGTTGCCTCGGATGAAGGCTGCCAATATCTGTGAGAAATATATTTTGGTGCCATGTTAAATGCCTTGTTAAAGCAAGCAGACCGTGGGTAGAGTATTGAGCAGGATTGTTTCCAACTGACCCCAAGCTCTCATTCATAATTTGTCGTAGTTCTGGGCCAGCGTTCAGGTGGGCTTCATTTATTTATTTATTTTTGCTCTTTCTGGGATCAGAGTTTTGACGTTTCGTACTCAGTTACAATGAATATTTCGTTATGAAATAAACCCAGGGGGTTCAGCTGCCTGGCGGTCTGACAGCTTCATTCGTGGATACCGGCTCCAGATCCCTCCTGTCATGGATGTCCAGCGCAGCTTAAAGGAGAAGTTAGTCGTGAAATGACACTAAGCACACTTGAGTAAGTCCATCCTAAACCACAGCTGCTTCAAAACAGTCCCACCCCCCCAAGCCTTCTACTTCCCCTTCCTGAGAGTGAACACTGTTAACTGTACAAATTAAAGACTGAGCTGAATGCGTTTGTCTGTCAAATTGGTCCTAGCTTATCACTTGCTTCATGCAGCATGTCCCCTGGGGTACAATTAAATTTTAACCTGAAATAAACTCTTGCTCCTACAAGAGAGTTAGAGTCTACCAGCTTCATCTTGCTCTTTGTGTTCTCCACACTATGCCGCACTGAACTTCCCTTTGGGATTTCGACAATAGCAGGACCTGAATGATATCCCATTCCACTCAAACACCCCTCAGTACAAACACAAATTATCTCAGATTTATTACAGTAAGCAGACAGCCTGAAATATAACGTGTGTGATGCACAACAAGCCCTGTTGTAACAGTTGCTGTTATGTGCTACAGCCATTTTGCATGCAATTACTTTGAGGTTCTCTACATTTTTGTGGAACCTTATGAAGGCTTACATCTGTAATGTTATTGTTATTTTAATGTAAGGAAATTATTGTAATCAAAGATTGATCTAAGCTTTTGCGCAGCTGGAAGTGTCCTTTGATGTAATGTCCCTGGTTTGCACTTACTGTTTTCCCACCTTGCGGTTCTCAGCGATCCATAACCGAGCACCAGTTCACTCATGGTGATACTGACTGAACAGGCTTGGGAGGAGAGTCCAAAAGGCTCCGTCATCCTCTCACAATAGCAGCATTCATATCAGTTGATATAACTGGGCTTCATTTATTTATATATATATATATATATATATCTAAGAAACAAGGTTTCATTATCTATATGTTTCTTGTATAATATTTTTCATAGGTCACCAGATGTCAGATTTTTTTTTCCTTTTGAAGCAAATATTATAGAGTATATAGCCTTGGACACATTCTGTAACCAGTAAGATAGTTCTTTGGACAACAGATTAGGGGAGTAATAACATTCCCCATTTACACTTCTGTGCCCAAAGGGATCACGGGCACCAGCCTTCACCCGCTGACCCGGCCTCCCGCTCAATGACAGAAAGAATTTTCCGATGCCAAATGTTTTATGGAGGGTCTCATGATAATGAAATTCTGCACTGAAAACAGGATTACAGCATAAAGTCTTTGAATCTTTGGAAAAACATGATTGGTGCAGAATAATGGCTGCAGTTTAAAGAGCAAGAAGTAGGAGGGGGAGAAGATCAGAATCTGATCAGCTCTTTGTATGGCAGGAATTTAAATTTTTCATTTTTCTACCTGGTCATTTCATGACAGCAAGCTTTGTGTAGAACATGGTGGGAGGCAGGGTATGAAAAGGTTGCCTCGATTCGTTCGCGTCCTCTCAGTATGGAAAACATGAGTGCATTCCGACGTGTCTTCAGGAGTGCACAATGAGCGCTTTAGCCCTGAGCTTCAGAATGTCGCTCTGGCCATTCGGCACCGGTGACCATTCCAGCATCCTGTTTTCATTCCATTCACTCAGAGAAAGAAATGCGACAAGGTAAGGTGAGGTAAGGTAAGGTCATTTATTTTTCAAGGTGTCATGCATCAAAAGGTGCCCAGCCCACACTACAAACATAACAAACAGGAGCAATAACATGGCATAATGACAGTGAAAGAACAAATGTAATACACTTCCATGTATGACAGTCAATGCCAAACCAAACCTGAACACAGTCCTGCTCCTCAGACTTTACAGCTATTAAAACATAACTTTGGCATATTCATGGCACAGACTGTGCCTTTAACGCATCAAACATAAAGCACCCTCATACGCTGCTAGTAAGCATTCAGCACAAATTGAGCTAGGTGAAACACTTTGTAAACAGGAACTGAAGGCTACATTCATCATACATTCAGACATAGAAAACAAATCAGGTCATTGTTCAGACATTTTAAGAAAAAAATCCTATATCTACAATTGTGATTTAATGGAAAATAGAAAAAAAGTGCATTTCATTTTCAACCGTTCCCAGATAAAACAGGTGACACTTTCCACTCACCTCTGGGACTGAATGAAAGTGTCCGGTTTCCACTGCCCGAGGCCAGATACCACATCTCAACTGGGCACAAACAGACCTCTGTGCTCTGGTCAGTTTAAGGTTGACATAGTGCTCAGGGTGGTAAATACACTTGTACATGTACGTTCTCATGTTCTGGTTTACACAAAATTTCGCCTGACCATTTCTGTTTATAATTTTCAAATAGCGTACGCCTTGCATATTTGCAGCAGATTATGTTAGCTTTTCGCTCTGAAAACCGCTAGGACTACCATTGCAAATAAAAGCATTCCTGTGTGGCATTGAGACTCACTTTGAATGCGATCGTCATTAGCGGCACTTGGTGAGCCACCAAAAACACAGACATTTCAATGCTACATCTAAATGTCACATTTACAGATACATGTCGATTCAATGTCATTATGTTTGCAGAGAATGTATCAGACTGCTGAAATATGTTAGGGTTTTGTTCATTTTCTTAATAGAGGTTGGATGTCAGACTTATTCTCAACTAAACACAGTCTAATGCATCATCTCTTTCAGAAACTGAAATGTCATTTATGAAAGTATAAAAAAAATTATATTGCTGAGAGAAAAACATTCATCTTAAATTCACATCTATGAAAACGAAACACAAAAATTTCAATTCACTGTGATGTATGACGCGTTCCATCATGTCTATTAATTTGTTGCGACTGCTAAAATGAGATGGTGGCAATTTTCTTGAGAAAAAGCTGAATTTTGGCTGTTTTAGAATTTAAAGTGCTTTCACATGAAAATGTGTTTTCTATCGTATCACCATTTTACCAGTGAGCTGGTTATCTAAGTACAATTTTAAATTATTCAGCAGCAACACAAGGATATATGGAGCTATTCTTTAGGATGAACATTTGATTTGCTATTGCCTCACCAATGCTAATCTCAGGTAAAAATGAAGACAAGCTATATAGCGCAGATGTATGAGATTTGAAAAGAGGAAGGGCATTAATGCTTCACAAAGACATCATATATGGAGCTGCTGGTAGTAGGTATTGAAAATAAAATGTAAAAAAATTTAAAAATTTAAAAATTAAAAAAAAAAATTTTTTGAAACCTTTTTCTCAAAACCATTGGTCATCACTTGCTAGACATTATGATCAGATAATTAACATGAAGTTTCTCCGACTTCAAACACTGTCAAAATAAAAATATCAAGAATTTCTTTGAGTAAAATCATGCGATAATGTTGGTTGGAGTTGAACTTTGAGACTGCTTGGTGCCATCCAGAAACACGTAGGCTTCCCCTCGGAGCTGGGTTCTGCTCAGGGGTTCCTCCTCTTTGCTTGCCTTTCTTTTCCTCATCCACTGTCACCCCAGCTTCACACTGGGGGAGGGGGTGGGGGCGTCTCAGGACCAGGATCTATGTAAATGTGCTCTGTGATGATGTACTAATAAGCACTAAATACGACTGCTCTGAAGTTTAAGCGCTCACTGCCCATGGTCCAGATGGGTGCTGCACATTGCTGGCAGCTGAGGAATAGATCCTTGACTTTGACATGCAGGCCATGTGGACATTTCAAATGTTTTATTTGATTCTGCCAAGTACACCATTCAGTGAAGACTCTGTCCCAGTCTTTGAATGGGCCCTATGGGGCAGAATTAAATTCTGTGATGGAAATAAGCAGTGATTCAGCGATAAGCACCGAAGACACGCGATTCGGTAGCAGGCAAATGCATTGCTGCTCTCCTGAACTGACAGCATTGACTGTAATGATGAGTTCGGTTTGTGAAATTCGACTCACCATTCCATATTAGCTGAAAAAAGAAAAAGGTATTTTTTAAAAAATTGTGAAACGCAAGAAATAATTCCTAATAACATGGCTTACATTTTTGAGTTCTTTTGTGATAGACAGGCTTTAATTTAGTATTTTGTGTGGTATGACGTACATCCATTTGATTCCTCAAAGACTCTTTTGAGCATATTTCTTGCTTCCTTAACACTTAACATCAGCTTTGGATTCCTCTTTTGTGACTGTCAGGCTTTTGTCCTGTCCTGGTTTGCATTTACTTAAGTGCTGTGAGATATCATCCTTTTCAAAAGGAGATTAAGTGCGTAAAATAAACCCAAAGGTGGCCGTATAAATATTAAAAGAATTCCTCTGTACAACAATGCCAACAATAAGATAAAATCAGTGTGAAAGAAACTTTCACTGAAAGTTTAGCAAGTTAAACAGTGGAATGAAAGAAGGCTAAGGTTTGACTCCTCTATGAGAAATAAAGTGCATGCCAAGGTCCCATCGTGTAATGGTTAGCACTATGGACTCAGAATCCAGCGATCTAAGTTCAAATCTTGGTGGGACCTTGTTTCCACATTTGAACCTCTTATCAATTCTGTTCCATTACACAACACCATAGAAACAGCTGTAAAGCCCTATGTAAACATGGCTGCCCTGTGTTATGAAGCCTGGAATATTCATTTCAGCACTTTCAGGTGTTTCTTGTATGGGTTTGCTAGCGGTGAGCTACAACAGTGGAGCCTGTAAGCACTGAATTATCTACTTATTTCTAACCAAGCATTGAGTAAAAGCATATGTCATGGCCAGATACATCTTTCAAGTAAGACATTTGACCAGTGAAATAAAAGTACCCATGCTTTCCTGGACATGTCTGAAAGGCTTGGATCATCGAGTATAATATAGAGTGGACCTTTAAATGGAAGCAGAACAGGTGAGATGCAGGTAACAAAGCATGGCTCTGTGCTGTTTTTCATTCTAATTAAGTTAAAAGGAGTCAAAAAGCTAAATCCAGACCACTTTAAATGTCAGTATACACCAGAAATATTCTCCAAGAGCACTGATTATCCTTTTCTGTGGCTACTGCTGCTCTTATAATCTAAACTACTGCGCTCAAATGCACTCATGTACTTGGCCTTACAAGCCTCTCTAGATAAGAGTTTCTGCTTAATTGACGTTATTGTAATCAAAGGTGGTCTCACAAACCCAAAGCAAGAACACTGACTGACTTCTCCTCATGATGTGGTCCACCAGCTTCCAGGAATGTAAATTGACGAAAAATCAACAGGTGGTCCCCTGGTGTAACAGTTAGCTCTCTTTGAATCCAGTGATCTGTGTTCACATCTTGGTGAAACCTCACCCCATAGGTTCAAGTCAGCCCAGTGTTTCTGTGCTGCATCTCCTTTTCTTGTCATCTGTTTTCTGGATACACAGTGTTTTTCTAGAACTACAATGTCTGCTGATTCTTGTTGTGTTTCAGCTCTTAATTGAATTATTTGCATCACTAATTGGCTACAGAGTCCTTGGACCTGGTTTTCAGCACCTAAAATGGATGCCAACTAAAAGGCAACAACAAAACCTGAACATTGTGGTCGTCCAGGATGCAAGTTTGATACCCTTGCTCGGCTTTTTCAATGTAATGTATTCATAACCTATCTCAATCACAGTGATGATCGATAATTAGGCTGGTCTTGAACCCTTTTCCTTATACTTACCTCATTCAATATAAGCTTAATGGCAAAATTTATCCCAGATCAGCTACTCCTTCCCCCTTCATGAAATAACTGAATTGAAGGCATGATTTATGACACTCCCTGGCAGACCTCCGAGGTGACAGTAAGGAAAGCTTACTGACATGTCCGTCATTTATATAGTAACACAGCATCTTCCAAGCAAGACAAACTAACTGACATAACAGAAAACATAATTAACAAAACACAAGAACAGAACAGAAGATACGTTATTAATGACAAATGTTCAGATATTATTATGGTAAAAAAATGAATCAACAAAACAAATGAAAGGATATTAAAAGCTAATCTATAAAATGTGTCTTAAGTTTGGTCTCGTAAGATGAGACTGACGCAGCTGCTCTGGTGTCCAAAGGGAGGGAACTCTCCTCACACCCTGCCATCTGGGCTGAGAGCACCAGGGAGCCGAATGACGGCCAGGCAGTCAGTTCAGCATTTCTCTGTAACATGGTTACCTGTGCGGCAGCGGGGGTTTTACAGCCCGTCATCATGAAAGTGGATGGCTCCCAGACTTTACAAAGGTCATTTTTCAGAATTATGGGATGTAAACCTAGACAGAGAGTATCTCTCTTCCATAGACCTTATATTCACTCTTTGCCTGTTGTTTGTGTATATGTGTGCGGTATTTTTTTTTCTGTAATCAGTGGTAGTGGGTAGTGATTGTAGACTTGCAGTGTGTGTGCGTGTGTGTGTGATGGTGTAGTGTGAGTGCACGGTTGCCTGTTGTTTTTGTATGTGTGCATGTTTGTGCTTTCTTGGGAATGTAGCCTATGGTGGACAGATTTTGCATGTTAAGATTCCCCCTCTCCTTTGCTGCAAAAGACTCCTCTTATCCTACCTGATTCTCCTGTCACTCCCCAAACACATATTATCTCATACATACGACTCAGCTCCTTTACCTGCTCAGGTAACATGACATTGTCAGAGAAAAGGGGACACATCTCCATATCTCCCTTTTGCCAAAAAAACAAGACATTATCTGTTTACCATTTAACACTCTCAAGGTTACCTGAATTGTTCCCATATAAGATGGAAGCACGAGGCCCCGGCCCCCCACCCCCTCCTCCCTTCCCCCTCCCTCTCTGCAATGGCTGACTATTGATGTATGAGGAGAAGCTGCAGTTTGTTATTAATCAGAGTTAATATGATCCGTAAATTACGGCTCCAGCTGGGATGGACTAACTAAGTAGGAAGGGGTCCCAAACAAGGACTTATATGGAGGATATCAATCATGTTCCTACAAAGAGCCTTTTATCCCAATAAGACTGCAATTAATTAAATAAATCCATTTGGGGACCTTGCCAACGCTTATGAAGCGATAAATCAGTTTTGGGGAGTCGCTGGTCCTCCCACCATTTTAACAGACTCCTGAAAGATTCCCCCCTACACCCCAAACCGCCCACCCCCCCCAACCCAACCCACCCCACACCACCTCCCTTTAAAGCTCAAGACAGGCTCTTTGTTGAGACAACAAATAAAAACGCCATTAAATTTCTGAAATGTCCTCACGAGCATGTTTTTTACAAAAGGGAAAGGAGCTCGCGGGCGCCTTTCCCGTGCCGGAGCTGTCTCTCCCTGGGAGATGAACAAACAAGGTGACAAAAGGCACTGCTTTATCATTTCCCTTACATTATTTATTATATTAAAGAGTTCCATCCACAGTGAATACGGTATGGAATTTGGATATTATCTGCATAATAGAATGGTAACTAACACATTTCACATCATGAATTGGGGGAAAAAATCGGAAACATATTTCTTGGACAGCTGAAACTGAGAAAGCTGTAATAAAGAAAACACCAAATTTTGTTTCTTTATGACAATGAAGAAGTTCACAAAACAGTTGCCTCACAAATAAAGGTGGGCTTTTATTGTAGAGTGTTATTGAATTGTCGGAGGTCGTCTTCCCTCAAGTAACAATACAGATGATGTGAAGCCTTAAATAAATGTCTTTGGTGTTGATTTAGTATCTGAGGTGAACTAAAATTCACAAGGTTTTTCTTATTTACTGATAATAAATAAATATACTGCTTATTGAAAATCAGTGGAAGGCATTGTAATGCAATACACACACATTTATTGTATGTGCAATTAAATATTCTTTACACTTTGTTTTTTTTTCCCTTTATTTGTCAGTAATGAACAAATGAACAGGGCAGCACCAGCTTCATTCCACAGCCAGCTTGAGCTAGAACTCTGTGCGTGATCTGTCACCAGAGGCCACACCTTCAAACCACGCTCATGTGCTTGTCCACCATCTCGTTACATCCTTGCCAATCAACTATGCTTTGGTGTTAGCGTTATGCTCTCAGTGAAACATTACTACTAACGTCCACATTTGCTAACAAGCTAACCGTAAGAACCCTACCATTGACCAAGTCCCATCACTATTGGCTTGGCGCATTGGGCTGAAATGGCTGCAACATAACCTAAGCTTGAAAATGGCAGTGGGAATGGCAGTGAAATGCGCAATGTAATTCTGCATTAGCACGGCTGTGGAAACGAGGCCGATGTGGAGAGCTAAGGTCTGTTGCGGGCTAAGTTTCCAGGTGATCGCCCTCCCCCTGTCCCATGTTCTTCATCCAGCTCATCATAGCCTGCCCCCTACTGGCATTTCACTTACACCATATTAACAAAACACTATAGTATCACAGTAATACCAGAGTAACAAAAGGCTTTGTCAGGAAAAACCCCGGAGACTCTCAAGGTCTTTTAACAAATATAAAGAACGCTAAACAGGCCTGCATACTTACCGAGTAGTGCTAAATCCAATTCCAGTGGAACTGTTACATAGCTGTCAATGTAGACGAGCGATTCAGTACTATTCCCAGGAGCATTTTTTGGAAAGTAATCAACTCACTCATGACCAATCAGAGCCAAGTGTTTAACCAAGCTGAGGTACAAAATTAGAATGATCGCACAGACACGCGTGATTCTGGGTATGGTTTAGAAATCAGAGGAAAAGAAAGAATGATAGCTCAAAGGAAGCTGAGATGACATGGGAATTTGAAAAAGGTTTTTTTTTCTTTTTATGATAAATTACATTAAGCTTCTACATCAAATTTGTTTGATATTTTTGCAGGGAAGCGATGTGTTGTGTGTATCTTCTGCTGTCTGAGGCAGCTGTTACTGTATCTGATTGAGTGCTAATCTTTCTCAGGATGACAGCAAGAAGAACTGAGTTTGCATAAGCCAGAACATCCAGCGCACATATGCTGCAGTGGCAGGATTCATGTGTGATGATGCCGCTTGCTTGTATACATACATCTCCCCACATCTTTCCCCCTTGACAGGAAGTGCTAAATTCCTGGGATTTTCCACTAAATATTGTCAGTCTGTTGAGAAACACAGGAGTCTCGGGAGATTCGCATGACTGCGGCTGGTGAGCTGTCAGGGAGACGTGGAGACACGAGCGTACGGGAGCAACGCTTTTTCAAAACCGCCGACCGCCGAAGCCCCGACGTCGACAACTCAATGCCTTTGTGATTAAGACAGGAGGTGTTTACGGTGACAGGATGCCTCGACAGTGACACGCGCTGAAAAACAAAATCTGACTATGAATGGCTGCCGCTGTCAACCCAAGCAAATCTTCATTTTTTTTTCCTCTTTGTTTTGTTTCTTTATAATTCTTTTTAATTGTGTTCTTTTTATGGGTGTTTTTAACCGTTGCTCATCGCTGACATGTTTTATTTTATTTTTATGAAAACACCACACATTCTTCTCTAATTTTTCAGAAATCTGAAAAAAATGAAAGGACATAGTGAATATTGTTCTCCAGTCCAGGCCTGGAGGCCCACAGTATGTGTAGGTTTTTGTTT